GTAGTTTAGACGGAAATAACATCTCAGACAGAGGATGATTGATAGAGACTGATGAACAGGCCTTAACGCCACTTTTAGTACCGGGTATGTCCAAATTCCAGCAGCTGCGATATTATGCCATGACACGCCTCCGAGCTGATGACGTCAAACGTCGGATGACGTTAGGGGCGATTCGCTGCCACTCATCCTGGAGACAATGTTCCAATTGTTGGAGGTTGGCTGGGGGCGCAGGGCGTTTCTGATTTTCCGATTGAGGTGATCCCATATGTGCTCAATGGGATTCAAATCCGGTGAACACGCTGGCCATGACAAAACCTGTATGTTGGCGTTGGCAAGGAAGTTCTGGATCAATCTTGCCGTATGAGGCCCCCAGCGTTATCGTGGTGGAACACGATTCCTCCTGGATGCTGTTGGGCGAATGGCTGCACGACTGGTCGTAAAACCTCATCCTGGTAACGCTGTGCATTCAGGTTCCCCCGAATAATGACGAGCCTCGTTTTCACATCACCGCAGATACTTCCCCGCATCATTACACCTTCGCCTCCAAATGCATGGACTTGCTGGATGCAGTTCGGCGCCAAACGTTCGCGAACTCTTCGGTATACTCGCTGCCGACCATCGTTCTTGTAAAGGCAAAACCGGCTTTCGTCCGAAAACAAGACACGTGCCCAGTTTCGACGTTGCCACCGCCGAACACGCCTGGCCCATATCAATCGGTTGACTCTGTTTTGACGTGTCAGGTAGACTCCGCGGTAGGGGCGACGTGCACGGATACCATGTGCCTGCAGTCTCCTGTAGACGGTTTGTCGACTGATCCGGTGTCCCAGTCCCGTCGCCGCCGTTAACGTCGCAGGAACGAAGCGGTTACGTAGGTGAAGTAACCGGATGTGGTTGTCTTGAATAGGCGTGGTCACCTGGGGTCTCCCGCTTCTCGGCCTGTCTGTTGTTCGGCCTGTTTGACGCAACCGTCGCATTAACCTGGTAACGATTATGCGCGCGCATCCAAACGTTCTTGCTACAGCGGCGTGTGATGCTCCCTGTCGGACCATTCCAACTGCTCTTTCTCTCGATCGCTGTCAAACGTGCCATTTCTTTGTGTACGTTTTACTGCTGTGGGCACAACGTGTCGGACCAGTGGTTTTATACAGTTCATCTGCACGTGCATTTCGTGCTACACGACTTAACGTCATTTTGAGTTTTCGTGCGATTGCTTCTTAAGTGAATAAATGTTACCGGTTTTTTCGATCGAATACGTTTGGTTAGGAACGTGGGATACACAGAAATATGTTTTTTCTCCAAAAAGTATCATTAATTTAAAAACATTGAAAAAAATATTTGGTATCGTTTCTTTTGGACATGAGTTTATTTATATTTATATTATATTATATTATATTATATTGTATTGTATTGTATTGTATTGTATTGTATTGTATTGTATTGTATTGTATTGTATTATATTATATTCACTGGATGAATTAAGTAAAAATCTTTACAACGTCAATTTACTGGCGCAGATATGGCACTCACTCACTCATTATCTGTTTCATACAGGTGAAACTCCGTGGCTGAATTCAACAACAGCGTGCACCTACCCGAGTCCCTGGGACCCCCCGAAACAGCCCCAATACAGACGGAACGCTCATGAGGATGACTCAACGTCAGACGACTTTGCCGACATCAGCGACTATGTAGGTGACTATATTCATCCAGCGTTCGGGACTTTCAAGGTGTTTCAAGATGGCGGACAGCTGAAGTATTCGTTCGGCGTGCTGCTGCGCGGTGACCTTAACCTTCAGTCACGTGACCAGTTCAACCAAACGCTGGATTTCCCACTAACGTTTCGAATGGCTGAATTTCCCGAGTACCCGAAAGGGTTTCCTGTCTCTTTCTCCAGGAACGACCAGGGCGCCGTGTCCTCAGTTAGAATTCCATATCTGGAGTTCAGTAAACCGCCGGTCTTCAATAGGTCACAGGGTCAATGAAGGGTCATAGCGTATGTTCACACGCACATAGGTGGAGCAATTCTGAGTTACGGCGTAAATGAAGACAATGAGAAACACCATAAAGCAACATTTGTTCATACTTTTTGTAAAATAAACATGTTCTTGCAAGTCTTGCTCTGTGGTTAAGTGGTCAATTACTGCTAAGGCAATATAACGATGTGGTCAAGTTGGACTGTGGAATTGTCAATCTGTGCACCGTTGAATCCGGAAACATCATCAGTCAGCATATTATGATCTCTTGAAATCGTAGAAACAAATCTTTTCAGAAAAGATACACTAAGATGTACACAATATTTTTAAGGATGTAATTTTCAATGCACCTGATCGCTTTGAACCAACTTCTCGTGACGCCTTGTGACTCACAAATACACTCACAAACGACCCTCTTGTATATATGTACATGCGCGTAGACGTTAGTTTACCACGTATTTTGTTTGTTACGATTTTAAGGTGGATGTGGTACCCTAAGTCATTTTTACACGTCCTTGAAGTAGCTCCAATCGTGACTTTTCGTACCATTCCTACACTACATTGACACTGTTGAGGGACTGGGATACTTCTGGAGGATGAACTTTAGTCGCAACTCACTGCAAGCTTTCGTTATGCATGCGTGTAACCAGTCTTCAACTAACATTCATCTCATTTTGTTTAAATTTATGTCACGTCAATAAATAATAATGTATAGAAACGTTAATCAAGCTTATCTGATACTTTGAATAAAAAGTTACTAATTATTAATGTCACAACATGAATAATATTGGTTATCATTGGTTACATGAACAATACTGGACCAATTCTGATTGTAGTGAGCGCGTATTATCGTACTGTTCATGTGAAATGCTTGAGCCGTTTATCTTGAATCATCTTTGAAAAGTTTATGAACTTATCAGCTATTGAAAAAATAGGTGAACTTCCATTTTGGGTTGATATTATTTATAACACGTCAGGAACGGCTACGCACAACTGGAATGATGGCAAGTTGGAAACAAAACAAATCATTGTGGCTTTTAACGTTTCACTGTCGGTAATTAGCAGATTACAATTACAATATGGACAGCCAAATTACGTTGATGACAGACGTTGGTCTGGTCGACGAAGGCAGACAAACTGGGGTCAAAGTGCCTCTCAACTATGAAATGAGCTTCACAGAGTTACCACAGAGTTCTAGAGTGAGTGAACAGACCATCCGTGCATGACGTCCACATTTTATCCAGCGACGGACGGAACGTCACACTACTGTAAGACGTCGTTGTGTCAAGAGCAGCAGCGCTGGACCAATCGTCGTTTTTTTGGATTAATCAAGATTTACTTTGGTCATGACAGCCGCAACAGGATGTGGTTTAGACGGAAATAACATCAGACAGAGCAACAGGATGTGGTTTAGACGGAAATAACATCAGACAGAGCAACAGGATGTGGTTTAGACGGAAATAACATCAGACAGAGCAACAGGATGTAGGTTAGACCGAAATAACATCAGACAGAGCAACAGGATGTAGTTTAGACGGAAATAACATCAGACGGAGCAACAAGATGTGGTTTAGACGGCAAATAACATCAGACAGCGATCGTTTAAAAACACTTTTTAGGTGTGGCTCAAGGGTTGGGATCAGTGTGACTGACAGAGCACCTTTACGTGATATTTACGTACGTTTCACTGAACAGTACTACCGTGACGATTTCTTGAAGCCATTTGCTCGCCGACAAGCATGTATGGACGTCATTTGGGGATTCAGGATGACAACGCAAGACTACACAGGCTCCCTCGTACCGTTACTGTGTATCTTCAGCCAGAGAATATAACCATCTTACCATGGCCAGCACTCGTCACCCATCCAACATGTCTTATGACACGTTTTTATTGAATATCCCCTACTTGTTTTAATTATGTATTTTGGAATGGATTCAATTCTCGTGGACATTATATGGTGGGAGAATGTTTATAACTTTTATAGTAATTACACTTTGTCATTATTTAAAAGTGTTAACTTCTCAGTGATTATTTAAAGGTGTTAACTCCACAGTGTAGCTTATATTTAAAGACTTAGCTGTTAATACTTAGTGTAACGCATATTACTGACGTTTACACAATATCTGACAACTGCATCGTAATTAGGGTATTATCCAACAATTATATATGATTTTGTGCACTATGTCTGACTGACTGACTGAGTTTGGTTTTACACCGCTTTGAGCAATATTCCAGCAACATCACGGCGGGGGACGCCAGAAATGGGCTTCACACATTGTACCCATGTGGGGATTCGAACCCGGGTCTTCGGCGTGACGAGCCAACGCTTTAACCACTAGGCTACCCCACCGCCCCGTAGCGCATATTAAAAGTTCTAATTAGTTAGTGTAGCGTATATTTAAGAGTGTTATCCACTTTAGTGTAGCGCATATTAAATTGCTAACTACTTAGTGTAGCGTATATTTAAGAGTGTTATCCACTTTAGTGTACCGCATATTAAATTGCTAACTACTAAGTGTAGCGTATATTTAAAATTGTTAACTACTTTGTGTAGTGCATATTTATAAGTGCTCACTACCTTGTGTAGCTGAGGACTTACACGGTTCTAGTGTACACTATTGAGAATGAAAATGTGTCTTTACTCTCATGGTTGGATTAACCGAGGGAGTCACCATTAGTGTGTCCCCCGTACCTCGCAGAGTGGCTGTATCGAACTCTCGTGAGTCCATGTAGCTCTAAGTCTAGACATTGAAATAAGTGTCAAGTCTGACAATAATACAATGCTACAATGAATTACGTCATAAACTTCAAGTTTGCAAATAGCTAGCGAGTGAGCAAGTTGAATCGTTCTTGCAAAGAGGGACAACTTGTTCAAGCCCAGATCCTTTTCAACCACTGTTCGAGAACTTTCAGCATGGGTTAACATTCACACATAGTTACACCTCTTCTTTGTATCGTTTTATATGGGTCGCGGGAACGGAAAAATATCACTGCATAGTATTTGTTATCCCTGAATGCTCATCGCGCGTTATTGGCTGACACACATTTCCACAACATAACGCTGGAGGAATCTGATATTACTGACACTTAATTTCACTGCAGGAATTCTTGGACTACGACGAAGGAAGCTATTACCTAGAAGTAATCCCCAGAAAGCCGTAGTACAAGTTAACTGTTGGTGATTCTCCTCACGTCGGTCGAAGGCTGAGTGGCGTTATCCGACTTGTATGTTCAGTATCTCAGGTAGCCGAGCGTGGCTTGTCGATCTCGAGGCTATGGACAGCGGTACATCTCACATATCCCCTGGATTTCACATGCATCTGATCGACTTCACGATAATCCTTTAGCAGGCTGTACGATAGGTGTCGTACACGTTAGGCACAGATGTAGCAGCGGCTGACTGTCTCTAAGACGGGACAATGCTGGGCGTGGGGGTTCCTTGTTTGGTGGTAGTTTTCCTTCCAACTGTCTTGTCAACGTTTGGGACAGAAGAGAAGAATTCCTTGGATGAGTTCATCCAAACAGTGATGAAATGTCGTAACGTAACCGGCGTCAGTATTGCGTTGGTCAAAAAGCGGCACATCGTCCACACGGCAGGCTATGGTGTCGCCAACGTTGTTACGGGTGCTCGGATGACGGACCAAACGCTTATCAACATGGCATCTATTACGAAGTCGTTTACAGCAACACTGGCGGCCGACGCCGTGGCGAAGGGACTGACGGATTGGGAGACGCCCATACGGAAGTTGTTAGGTCCGAGGTTCAAACTCCAGAATGAATTCCGCACCAAGCGAACGTCCCTGAAGGACCTATTGTCCCATCGCCTGGGTATGCCGTCGTATTACGGCCTGAGCCAAGCAGTCCTGAACCTGACGATAGAACAGTTGGCCCAGTGAGTACTACGGGTATGCTATCTTGAATTGTGAGGGTAGTTTTGGGGCATTATGATAAACCACTGGTTTGAGTCCTAGGTTCAAAAGAAGCCGACCAGATAGGTACCTAAGGTAGGTGACCTGCGATGTATCGCTCCTATATGTTTGAGTTGCAATAACTTATATTGTTATATTGTATATTGCATTAAAGCGTTATGCATGTCATATAAAACATTTTGATGTGTGTATCCTGTTCACGGTAACAGAGGTGTAGATGAATACAAATAGACCATCTCTGGTTCACACGTTGTTTCACGTAGAAAGGAAGTCACAATCCCTCAACCACTTTATTTCCCCCTCCTCTCAGCCCTTTCTGTAAAGCGAAAGCCCAATGTGAAGCAAGTCTAGATTTCCTCAGGTTTATTTGAATGGCCCCTCTCGCAAGGGCTCCTTTTCAGTTGAAATGGAATTATTTGTCTATATCTAGTTAAAAAGAATTGTTGAAAGGATGTGATTGAAACGACTATCACAGTGCTAGTTCTATTAATTATGGATAAAATATTTAAAGATATGTTAACAGAGTAATGTCACGATCACCTCCAATACCCTGTTTGTTCTGTATACACATGTTGTTTAAAGCAGTTTCAATAAGCTGGGCTTTGTGGTGTTATGCAAGTTGCTGTTTGGTTTTGTTTGTGCTCTATGCATTATCCCATTGTCTGGAACATTAGTCTCTGTGTTGCTTCAACAGTCGCTTGTCAATTGTTCTGTTAACATGTTTTTGAGTATTGTTCTGGATACTATTTGAACAATTTTCTTTGCATTGCTGTTAATTTTTTTGAGCATTAGTTTTTGTATTATTTGATCCTTCGTCTGTCGAAATGTGCTAGCTCGAGTCTCGAGCATTATTCTCTCTATTGCTCTCTTGTTTCCGGCATTGATCTGTGTATTGTTCAATACATACGTATTGCAATCGTTTTGTCCATTAATCAGTACGTACAACGTGCTGGAATATTGCTAAAAGCGGCGTAAAACCAAACTTAGTCAGTCAGTCAGTCCGTCAGTCAGTCCGTCCGTCAGCCAGTCAGTCCTATGGATTGTTATGTTTATTGTTCCATTTGATTTCATGTAAATGTTCTGTGCATTTTTCTATACATTGTTATGTAAATGTTTGCGTGCATTATTTTGCCTATTGCTCTGTACAGTGTTATGTAAATGTTTGCGTGCATTATTTTGCCTATTGCTCTGTACAGCGTTCTGTAATGTTTGCGTGCATTATTTTGCCTATTGCTCTGTACAGTGTTATGTAATGTTTGCGTGCATTATTTTGCTATTGCTCTGTACAGTGTTATGTAAATGTTTGCGTGCATTATTTTGCCTATTGCTCTGTACAGCGTTCTGTAATGTTTGCGTGCATTATTTTGCCTATTGCTCTGTACAGTGTTATGTAATGTTTGCGTGCATTATTTTGCCTATTGCTCTGTACAGTGTTATGTAATGTTTGCGTGCATTATTTTGCCTATTGCTCTGTACAGTGTTATGTAAATGTTTGCGTGCATTATTTTGCCTATTGCTCTGTACAGCGTTATGTAATGTTTGCGTGCATTATTTTGCCTATTGCTCTGTACAGTGTTATGTAAATGTTTGCGTGCATTATTTTGCCTATTGCTCTGTAACAGCGTTATGTAATGTTTGCGTGCATTATTTTGCCTATTGCTCTATACATTGTTATGTAAATGTTTGCGTGCATTATTTTGCCTATTGCTCTGTACAGTGTTATGCAAATGTTTGCGTGCATTATTTTGCCTATTGCTCTGTACAGCGTTATGCAAATGTTTGCGTGCATTATTTTGCCTATTGCTCTGTACAGCGTTATGTAAATGTTTGCGTGCATTATTTTGCCTATTGCTCTGTACAGTGTTATGCAAATGTTCTGCAGATTGTGCTGCCTATTGTTCAATACATTTGGGCGGTGGGGTAGCCTAGTGGTTAAAGCGTCCGCTCGGGTACAATGTGTGAAGCCCATTTCTGGTGTCCCCCGCCGTGATATTGCTGGAATATTGCTAAAAGCGGTGTAAAACTAAACTCACTCACTCACTATTCTATACATTGTTATGTGAATGTTCTGTACACTGTTCTTTTAATTGTCCTTCCCATTGTTCTGCCTATTGTTATGTAAATGCTCTGTACATTGTTCTGTGTACTGTTTCGCCGTGGAGGACGCCGCTAATCTGTTTCCGTCATTGCATTGCCCGACACGTCGCCGCTGTCGTGTAATTATCTGTGTATCAAGTCAGACCGGACAGTCCTCGCATCGGGAATCCGTCAAACACGTGTTTCCATTAGAGGGAGATTTACCCTCTTAAACAACAGCCAGGCCTGAATATCAAGCGTTGGGGTGAGAGCTGCCAGATTTGTCAGAGATGGGCTTTTTAAGCAGACAGTGTTATTGGAGACAATTGAAAGAAATGTGCACTAAATTAAATTGTCTGTCGATTTAGGACAATTACTTCCAAATTAAGACAACTTGATACTGCCACCCACTCCATGTATCACAGTCTGTAGCCACCGCTGTATCCGGTGTATTCGGACAGGTATCATGCAGTCACTACAATGTGGTACTCTTTAAAGATGAAACGTGTGATGGTTTTTCTCTAAGTTTCCCCCGAACGCTAAGACTTGTATTAGATTCATCCATAACTTGGATGGAATTTCCCTGATATTATCAGGAAACATCGAAGTGTGACAAAATGGTTTTCATCGTCTGTTTCATCAGAGAGACTGCTTTGAAGTCTTAGTTCCTTATAAAGACGAAATGAATGCGCTTACTCGGAAATAATTATGCATATTATTAGTTTGTTATAACCCGTGACAAATTATTTCTTACATATAAACCCTGCAGGATTTCTTATCAAACATGACACCTGTATCAGATGCTTGATGTTATAGCCCTTAGTTGAGGATCGGGGGTCATGTCTGCCAAGAAATCTTTGAAAACTGAGGCACTGAATGTTGTAACCCTGATTTGAGCCAGAGGGATTGTCTTTAGGCATCATTATTTAGCATTTGCATATTGTTCGACGTGAAGGGAAAGCTGGCGCCATTGATGTCTCTTGCCATACAATGTTTGGGATAGTGTTTTTACTTCTATTAAGCAAGAATTTGAAACATCATGACACGCGGTGACTCTGGTCTCCTTGGCTGTTTGACGGTGATTATCGAACGATAAACCATGTCCGATTAAATTCCAATACTAGGGATACGATGGTGTGTCAACCAAGTTTAGATCCCTTAGTGTACCATCTAAAGACGATTTAACAAGTCAAGGTGAAGAATTGACTGATGTACGTTATGCATTGTGAGCGGTAAACAAAGTGTTATGTTTATGGTGCGGTGCCACCATAGATGTCCAGAATTGGATACCTATTTCACATTTTTTCTTTTTTCGATACTTTGGAAACCTGTGTAAGGATAAGTCTCGTTACCGAATATTTGATAACAAAGAAAGGTCATTTAAATTCATGAACGATTACATGCCTATTTAGACTTGTACATGGTAAGAAGAGGTGAAGAATTGACTTACGTTTCTGTGATATGGTGCGAGGTGCCACCAAAAATACCCTCACTTGTTCGCAAACACTGGTATCATAGTATTCCATGAACACATACGCGTCGGAATCGAAAGATACGCGTCTGAAAATGTTCTTGTCGGTCTGTTTCAGTCGCCTGCAGTATTTTCCGGTGTTGTACCAGTTCCGTAGTCGCTATATCTACAGCAACTTCCTGTACGTCTTGGCAGGGTTGGTGCTGCAGCGGGCGACGGGGACGATGTGGGGAGACGCCATCGTCAACAACATCTTCAAGCCTCTAGGTACGTACCTAATTTCTTTCGCTGTGACATGCCCAGAATATCGTCGTGCACGTTCATCACAACATGTCAAGCGTGATGTTTCAGTACTTGTCAACCACTGAGTATGTCATGCATTTAGTTGGGCACTTGCCACCAAAGGTCTAGTGTAAAACATAGCATTAGGTAACTTCCACTAAGTCAAACATTGGTACTTGCGACTGCAATATATAAAGCATAATTTGGTAGCTGTACTTTAAAGTAATATCTCAAGCAGCTATAATCAGATATACTTTGCAAGGTTCGTTATTGTCCTTCTGCGAACATACAGACCCGTGCCAGTTATATTCGGACACTTGACGTAATTTCCATAGACTTACATGTTAATTTAGTCTAGCACAAGCATAAATGAATTTAAGTTTCGTAAGATCCAAGTAAACTTTTGCACATTTATGAGGAATCATCTTACCTACGATCACACAATTTCTGTTTACTTTTCCGTGGCTTATTTATCGAATGGCAACAAGTTAATCCACATATGCACAGTGCCGAGAACTCCTTTAACATGGCGGCCTATGAGATTGTGCATTGTGGAACCATACGAAAGTTGATAGATGTGATGTCATTAGTTAAACAGTGGTCGGAAAACTGAACTTAAATTGTGTGCGCAGAGCAGAGATCATTCACATTTGCCTGTCAAATGTTACAAAGATTCATCCTAAACTCACTTCATGAAAAATATTTATGCTACACTGAAATAGCATGTAAGTCTGTGAAAATTACGTCAAGTATCCGAAAATATTTGGCACGGGTCTGTAGCTGAAAACGATGCAGATACCTTCCACCCGCACTGAGTGATCCTTATCGGGATACCAGCAAGTCCTGTATGTCGTCAGACGATGATTGTGTATCAAGACCCAACGAGTGGACAGTTACCCATGCCAGCCGGTGTTCCAGGTAGTGGGACTCTGTTTTAAACCAGGGATACTCTACAACCTTATATAGTCTCCCTGTTTAAACCGACCGGGGATTATGGCTAGACTGGGGTTTACAACTGCACCCACTTCACTCACGTGTGTTCAGTCTGTCGCTTTTAATTCCCTTTGTACAGGGATGGACAACAGTCGCGTGGTGTCCCAGCTCTCTGACACCGACGTCAGGGACATGGCCTACTCCTGCACCATCGTCAACAACACCTGTCTCCACAATGAGGAACGACTCCTACTGCCGTAAGTCTATCATAGCTGGGTTTGGGGAGTAATAGGTGTTGTGGTGTGGGTATGCAAACATCCCCACTCATCGCTATCATCAGAAATGGCGTCTTAACTAAACCTACCTAAAGGGAGACAACCCCTTTGGCGTATTGATCTCCATTGATCTCATCCGTATAAAGTATAGTCCACTCCAATATCAATGGGGTTTTCTCAGGACGAACATTATTCAGCACGTGTAACAAAAAACCCACTGAAGGCAGGAAAATTTTGAATTGCTTCCTGTAATGTAGTACCTGGACTAAAATGGTCTGTATCTCCGTGTGTCATAACCGGAAGCCATATGTATTTCTCATCTCTGCTGTAGAGTGATCCGACAAGCCCATGCAGCTGCTGGGGTGTTCAGCACGGCCAGGGACATGGCCAAGTGGCTCCAGTTTCACCTCAAAGGGGGAAAGGTTTGTTCGTATACTACTCACAATAATTGAGAAGGTGCTTGTCATCCAGTTGTACAGGGAGGCCCAGTGATAGGAGGTGACGTTTCAAAAGTCCTATTGCCGTGCAAGGTTCCGCTAATCATGGGTTGGATTCCCAGATTCGTCCTGAATATAATCATAGGGTACATTGCAGAATATCCTACTGTGTTTTATTCCTTCAAACGGTAAACGGCTAAAGCCGGCGTGAACATATGTTTTTACTTGAGTTAGCCCCAATTCTTTAAGTACTCTAGTTGGTAGTACAAAACAGAGGTCTGTTTGGAAATGGAAACGTTTCTAATACCAGAACTTTGTATTTCTGTATAGTCTGAAGATATTCATATTTAGCTCCGAGCACAAGTTGTGTCACATTTCTATTCTGAATCGTCTGACGCTGACAAACATCCAACGTTTTAGCAAATGTCAGTTGTGGTCAAGTGTACTTTCTACAACCATCAACTGAACGTTATACAACAGACGTGGAGTTAGGACACCTTTCAGAAGAAATCGTTCAAATATGTGATAACACCTACATATTGGTGTATTTTCTCAGAATGCCAAAGGGTACCAGATCTTGAACCGCACTGCTTTGAAGGAGACATACAGGCCTCATATCGTCCTCGAGAGGTCAGGCATCACGCGGGCCCGATTTCCGGTCGTCAACCTCGACTTCACATACGCCCTCGGCTGGATGAACGGAGTTTACAGAGGTATCGGCTGATCCCAAATATAAGTCATTTACGAATCGTGTGAATAAGCCTGTAAATGTTTAAGCCTATTTGTCAAATATTTTTCATGTTGATGATTGTTTGCTCATAAGGAGCGGAAACTCTGTAAGCGTGTACATATTTCAGTGATTCATACAAAGTCAAAATATTCATTATCATATCTACTCATTACATTCTTACAGTATGTTTTACGTCGCGAAATCTGCAGTGTCAGCATTTTTCGAACTGTAAAATCGCAAAAACAAAATACGTTTCCTTACTTTAGTGCTAGGTTTCATTACAACCAATCAGCTACAACTACGTACCAAGTACCTCACGGCACCTTTGAGTATCTTCACCACAAGTACACGAGTTGAGGGGTTCCCAACAATGTGTCTTGCTTGTAGTCGTTGTTTACTAACCGTGTTATAACTGACTGACTGAGTTTTAGTTTTACGCCGCTTTTAGCTATATTCCAGCATTATCACGGCGGGGGACACCAGAAATGGGTTTCACACATTATACCCATGTGGGGAATCGAACCCGGGTCTTCGGCGTGACGAGCCAACGCTTTAACCACTAGGCTACCCCACCTACCCCCGTCTTATAACAGAAATACTGTTCAAAGTGACGTTCCATTCAACTCAAAAAGATCTACCGTGTTCTCGGATTTGTTCCGTCCATCACGGATTTCCTGATCGGCGGGGGGCGGTGGGGTAGCCTAGTGGTTAAAGCGTTCGCTCGTCACGCTGAAGGCCCGGGTTCGATTTACCACATGGGTACAATGTGTGAAGCCTATTTCTGGTGTCTCCCGCCGTGATGTTGCTAAAAGCGGCGTAAAACAATACTCACTCATTTGATCGTCTTTCTCCAGGTTACAAGAAGTTGAGTCACACGGGAGCGTTCAGCGGATACCGCCTGATGCAGACGCTGCTCCCCGAGGAGGGAGTCGGGGTGTGGGTGGCCATCACGAGCTTCGCGCCCAGTCAGCAGACAATTATCAGGGACATCATCACCATGTACAGCCTTGACCTCATGCTGGGTAGGTCCGCTGCGCTCCTTTGTTCTGTAGAACACTTGGTTCAAGTATCTAGTCTCATTTAACAAATAAGTATATCTTACCCTTTCTTATATTTAACCCTTTCTAACAGGCTATCATATGCAAGTATATCGGTATTCTTTTAGAAAGGTAGAACAATGACATGAGGGTGTAAATATGTCGTTACGAAAGTGTAATTTGGCTGAGTTCTACACTCTGAAGAAACATCATGTTCACTATCAAAGGTCAACAGATCCAGTAAAGCACTACGAATGGGCGATTTCACACTCTTGACGGCATGTTTCCATGAAAATAACTGTCACTAAATGAATGTATATATGCTTTAACCAGTCTAAGTAAACTTAGGCTCAGTATTATTCGTTACACTGCTTATACTGAGTCTAACAAACCCTAGTAGAAGGTCGCGTCAGCTAACCTTTTCAATTGACCAATCAGAACACAGCTTATCAAATCGCGAAACATTCCCTTCGTCACCACTCGCCCCTTTCCGTAAACTCCAAGAAGACTCGTCCCCGTCCCGATGCTTGTTATGTGCGAAAATACGACAAACCAATCAGACCGCGCGTAATGAAGGCGATGCTTTGATAAATATACTCCCGAATGCTTAAATCGTTTATGGCATTATGTCATTGTTTAAAAAATCTTGGAAAATATGTATCATCAAATTGAAAGTACAAGGAATGTCGGTAACATAATTGTTTTGGCTCATGTGTAGTTTTTAGTAAAGATATTGCCATGGAAGGTGAGAGATTCAAATCCATGCACGTGCGTTTGTTTACATAACGGCTCTCATGGGTTCAATTGAGTGTATTTCTGACGATCTTGTTGTGGAGATTGTACGTGCGCTTCCAACAGTTTTAGGAAATGTAATCATAAATCGCTTCGAGTTTCAAAACAATTATATTGTATGTAACTTATCAACTTTAATCAACATTGACGAGTCAATGTAACGCTGTCCTCTGCGGACGACCAATCCCACCTCAGACCATCACACTGCCACTGTCGCGCTATATACAGCAACTAGAGCACAACAGGAGTGGATCCTTGTGTTTTCGCCATCTGGAACCTGCTCTGACAAGAAAAGTGCACACATTGCCAGTTAGGACATTTGTCCGCGTTGAATAGGGTGTTCCTAAAGCCGAAACGATGTTGCCTCGTAAATGGCATTCCACTAAATGGCCAATAGGCCCAGATACTAGGCTGTCGAAGTGCGTGACGTGGGGAGTGAAATGTCCAACCGCAGTCTGTTCCGATGCTGTCATAGACAGGAATCTGTTGCGAAGACAGCGGTCCTCGGTGGTAGTTGTGACGCGGGGCTTCTAGTTCTTGGCTTGTCCTACGTTATGCCAGTCATTCTTTAACACTGTCTGAACAGGGTCACAGTCGGTCTTACCAAGCACTGCACCAATGGCTCCACTCGTCCTTCACGAGTAAGATTTGACATGCTCTCGGGTATTTTACTGACGACTGATAATTATCGCTTGTCATGCCACCGTTTATATACGCTTATGTTCACGGATTTCCTGTTTCATGTGCATTGCAAGTTTTCTTGACGTCCAACGCAGCGATATGGGAACTTTCCGTCTAACAATACTGTCTCACCTTAAATTATAAAAAAGAAACTTTGGTATACATGTACTTTCTTATAATCGTTTGATTGGCATTCTAAAGTTGGTGACTTAATAAGGAAATACACAACTTTGTGGAAAACGTTATCAAATTAAAGTAATGTCATAGCTTAGTTACTTCAATCTGCTATTACTTTCACTTGATAACGGTGTACGAATGTACATCGTTACATGTAATAAATAAGTTATGATCAACAAAGTTAACTTATTTCATATGATCGTCTGTTTATTTAAATATTGTTTTACTGGCAATGTGAATTTCAAAAATGTCTTTTGGTTTCATATTCATTGTCATGCTCATTGGTGATAAGAAAGTTCACGCCGTGGCATCCTCTGAAGGGTTTATCAGACCTTGACATAGAGCCCATCGAAGCGGAGTAAAAGATACAAATTAATGCGATTGACAAGGCTTCAAACTTTCGAAGACATTTCAGATGTCTGTATTCATTTCCTGTTCCAGTTCCTGTTTAATTTGCTAATACAAATGTATAAAGTGATATTTAACATATCAAGGACGATGTGCATGGTATCATGGTATCATGGTATCATGGTATAGGAGCGGATGAGGCTGGAAGCGACACCTGGATCTGGTGGCAGGGGTGGGTGCAGAGTTGCGTCCCTTGGCCTGCCAGAGACCCAAGGTCGTGGATAATTTCTCCATGTTTATCAGCACCTGACAGTTTGTGGATTTCAACAAAGTGATAACCTGCTTCAATACATTACATGCTGAAAGAGCTGAAATAATTGTTAATTGTTAATAGCGTGTTTGTTTGGTGTTTAACGCCGTACTTTCAAATATCCCAGCTATATGGCGGCGTTCTGTGTAATAATCTCCCCACATGGGTTCAATGTGTGAAGCCCATTTCTGGTGTCCCCCGCAGTGATATTGCTGGAATATTGCTAAAAGTGGCGTAAAACACAACTAACTCACTCACTCTGTGTAATAATCGAGTCTGGACAATCCAGTGATGAATATCATGAGAATCTATCTACGGACTTGGGATACGTGTCAACCAAGTTAGCGATCCTGATCCCGTTAATCGCCTGATCCCGTTAGACAAGCTTGGGTTGCTGCGGACCAATTCTAACACAGATCTTCACGGGTAAAAGCAATATTAAACACATATTCACACGTGGGTCACAGTTGTTGCAGTGATTATAATGATTGTAGTCTAGACACAGTAACATATCATAAAATGTTTGGTTATTTACTCCAGGCAAAGACCAGTGGCTCGGGACGGCAACCGCCTGCATGTACCCAGAACCTTGGGGAAGAGCTCCTCTCAAAGAGAAGATAACTCGTGCTCCACATCCGGCTGTCAATCAAGATCCAAACTTCATCAACAAGACAGAATATGTGGGCAAATATTTTCATAAAGCGTTTGGGAAGTTTGAAATAATTATCAAAAACGAAACACTTCGTTTCACATTCGGCCTGTTACTTAGAGGAACACTGCAGCCGTCGACGTCACGTGATGTGATGTATCAGCAGCCGGAGGCGCCGTATAACCATTTACCACGTGACGTTGTCCACTTCAGCAAGCCGCTGTACTTTCTCAGACACCATAATGGATCCGTCGCTGCTCTCAAAGTTCCCTTCCTCGAACCCTCCATACCGCCGGTGTTCGTTAAAGATGACCCGGAAGCAGTTGGTTTTCTAGAAGAATCAATGAACATTATTACGCCAAGTCACATCACATCCGGAACTACTTTCACCAACAGCTGCTTCATTCTAGTTATTGTTTCAGCCATGTCCCTGTTCTTAATACATCAGCAGTAACTCGGTTATCCAGCGTAATATGTCAATATTCTATGAAGAATTATAAGCAGGAACACGTCGACATCTGATAGGTCTCGGAGTGATTTCTAATAGTATTTGAGACAGAACCAAACGCCCTTTTATGTAATTGAGAAGTCATTGCTTGTTTAATTAGTGAGAAAACAGTGTTATTTGATTTAAGAGGGTGGACTTTCATAAGTCGATACATAATACGCTGGGTAATCGAGGCTGGTGCTGTCGTTAATAGACTACCATTTATACTTAGCGTCATTCTTGGAGAGGCACTTGGTGTGTAGGGCTTGAGACATTAACATATTCCAATGAGGCCCAAGTAGGTCTGAGCATTTTAACAATGTGAAACAGTTGAACAACATCTTGTTATTGCCTGTGTCGCGATGACTGGATACTATTATTAAACTTAAAACATGGACCAGCTTACTAAACCAATGAAAAGTGCAAAATTTATGATTATTGAAAAAAACACAAAACACACGCCTGAACACAACCCGTACGAGACAAATAACAATAAACGTGTGTTTTTAATGCAGTTCTCATTTGAGAGTCCCCTCAATAATGACGCTAAGTATACTCTGTATATATTCCTGTCAATGCATGTGTTTGGCTTACAGCGGTACTAATGGGATATTCACACACCCATGCTTCAGTGCATGTCATTTGTGCAGCTGTTCGTATTCAGTACATTATAATGACAATCGTTGTTTCTTAAATATATTTATACAAATATTGTAATCAGTATTTTGCTACTTTACTCAATTTTTCAACAAATGTTCGTTCGTGTTTGCCCTGCAAGGCTGGGCTTGCCGTGGGTTCGAATCCCGGTTTCGCCCAATTTATAATCCTAATTGCGCGTGGGTGTTCAGTATCGTGGTAGACGTCGTTGCCTAGCCCACGTTGAGCTTTCCTGAAGAAGGTCCTTATGCCGTGATATAACTGAAATATTGTTCGATGCTAAGTAAAACCGACCCTCATTGTACATATGTGTCTCGTTGTTAACCTGTTGTGTGTCTCAGTGTATGTGTATAGCTGTGGTGTATTCTGAACATATACTTCAATCATTGTCCATATACTAGTATAGCCGTGAACCTAGATATCTGCTGTAGCTCACCTCGACAGACAGTCCGGCCCTGCCATGGGTTTTCCTACAGGGGTTCGAATCATTGTTTGGACAATAATTTGAAAATATAATAATTTGGACTTTTGCAATCATATATTATTTTTATATGTTATGAGTAACATATATTTCCAATTTGACCGAAATTGGTACAGAAATAAAGATTTTAGAAAATTCGCTCATTGTATTTTAATAATGTAATGAGTGAAGCGGTTGAATTTTCTAAAATCTTCGTTTCTTCGCCGATTTCTGTAAAATTTGAAATCTATGTTAATCATAACATATAAAAACAATACATGATTGCAAAAGTCTAGATTGTTATTTTTTTTAAATTATTGTCCTAACAGTGATTCGAACTTTTGGGCTTTGTCCCTACCCGGTCTTGTGAATGTGGAAGTTCGTCACGTGTGGTCAAGTCACGCACGATAGATATGATATGCTATAATTACATGAAGTAATACGGATAATATTTTCAGTAATCTAAATCACAAGATGATCTCCTTGATGTCGCTGCCGCCCCCTAACCCCCACCCTCGCCATTTCCAAGTGTATGTGTTGTACCTTTTCCATATTCAAACTATACGCACACGCATGTGAAACGTACATCGTGTTTGCCGTCTTTGATTGTCGGGGTTTCTGCCCATCAGTAGCAGTACCTGGAGTGCTATACAGTTATATGTACATCCGTCTCGCTAGAAAAGCACTGATACGTCTTATTGAGCATATATCAGTAAGATAATTCATTTGTGATACAGTTCATACCCCTTCCAGGTGATCTGGACTGATGCTTCTAGATTGGTATCAAAGTCATTTACGCAGGTGTCTAGCGTGTCCTAGGTCGGTGTCTAGAGCCGTGGTGTCTAGCGTGTCCTAGGTCGGTGTCTAGAGCCGGGGTGTCTGATGCACGGTGCGTCCTGGACTGGTGTCTGGAGGTGTCTAGAACCTCCCAGATTGGTGTCTATCGCGGCCTGACTGGTGTCTGGAGGTGTCTAGAACCTCCCAGATTGGTGTCTATCGCGGCCTGACTGGTGTCTGGAGGTGTCTAGAACCTCCCAGATTGGTGTCTATCGCGGCCTGACTGGTGTCTGGAGGTGTCTAGAACCTCCCAGATTGGTGTCTATCGCGGCCTGACTTGTGTCTGGTGTGTCCCAGATCGATGTCGAGAACCTACATATATATATATGCCTGTTACATCCTAGACTGGTGTTCCCCAGATTGAAGTCTGTTTCATCCTAGACTGGTGTTCCCCAGATTGAAGTCTGTTTCATCCTAGACTGGTGTTCCCCAGATTGAAGCTTGTTTCATCCTTGACTGGTGTGTCCCAGATCGATGTCCAGAGTGTGTTTCATCCTAGACTGGTATCAGATTGTGTTACATCCTAGACTGGTGTTCCCCAGATTGAAGTCTGTTTCATCCTAGACTGGTGTTCCCCAGATTGAAGTCTGTTTCATCCTAGACTGGTGTTCCCCAGATTGAAGTCTGTTTCATCCTAGACTGGTGTTCCCCAGATTGAAGCCTGTTTCATCCTAGACTGGTGTGTCCCAGATCGATGTCCAGAACCTACATCTATATATATATGCCTGTTACATCCTAGACTGGTGTTCCCCAGATTGAAGTCTGTTTCATCCTAGACTGGTGTTCCCCAGATTGAAGTCTGTTTCATCCTAGACTGGTGTTCCCCAGATTGAAGCCTGTTTCATCCTTGACTGGTGTTCCCCAGATTGAAGCGTGTTTCATCCTTGACTGGTGTGTCCCAGATCGATGTCCAGAACCTACATATATATATATGCCTGTTACATCCTAGACTGGTGTTCCCCAGATTGAAGTCTGTTTCATCCTAGACTGGTGTTCCCCAGATTGAAGTCTGTTTCATCCTAGACTGGTGTTCCCCAGATTGAAGTCTGTTTCATCCTAGACTGGTGTTCCCCAGATTGAAGCTTGTTTCATCCTTGACTGGTGTGTTCCCAGATCGATGTCCCCAGAACCTACAGATTAGTATATAGACTGGTGTTCCCCAGATTGAAGCCTGTTACATCCTAGACTGGTGTTCCCCAGATTGAAGTCTGTTTCATCCTAGACTGGTGTTCCCCAGATTGAAGCTTGTTTCATCCTTGACTGGTGTGTCCCAGATCGATGTCCAGAACCTATATATTATATGCCTGTAACATCCTAGACTGGTGTTCCCCAGATTGAAGCCTGTTTCATCCTAGACTGGTGTTCCCCAGATTGAAGTCTGTTTCATCCTAGACTGGTGTTCCCCAGATTGAAGCCTGTTTCATCCTAGACTGGTGTTCCCCAGATTGAAGTCTGTTTCATCCTAGACTGGTGTTCCCCAGATTGAAGGTGTTTCATCCTAGACTGGTGTGATTCCTGTTTCAGATTGAAGTCTGTTTCATCCTAGACTGGTGTTCCCCAGATTGAAGTCTGTTTCATCCTAGACTGGTGTTCCCCAGATTGAAGTCTGTTTCATCCTAGACTGGTGTTCCCCAGATTAAAGTCTGTTTCATCCTAGACTGGTGTTCCCCAGATTGAAGTCTGTTTCATCCTAGACTGGTGTTCCCCAGATTGAAGTCTGTTTCATCCTAGACTGGTGTTCCCCAGATTGAAGTCTGTTTCATCCTAGACTGGTGTTCCCCAGATTGAAGTCTGTTTCATCCTTGACTGGTGTGTCTTAGGCTGACGTTTGTCTATCCAGCTTACTATGTATTTTTCACACTGATCTCGTGAAGGTGTTTTTCTTCTAACGTACATTTTTATAACGGAGAGACGTATGCTATTTTTGTAGATGGCCTATATGTGAGTGTGTCCCAGGCTTGTGTCTGGCACGTCTTGGACTGGTGTCTACTGGACTTGTCTGGTGTTTTCTAGGCCGGAGTCAGGTGTGTCCTGAACAGGTGTCTGGTGTCGTAGAATGGTGTCTCTGTTACGTCCTAGACTGGTGTTCCCTAATATGACGTCTGGTACGTTCTAGGCTGACGTTCTTTATATTGCTTTCTATTTTCTCACCAATATTGTGATCGTGTTTCCATAGTAACGTACATTTTTATAACGAAGAGAGATGTGTGCTATTTTTGTACGTGGCCTATATGTGACTATTGAATAAATACTTAATGGACAACCTTGACCTCAGCTTGCCCTTCTTGTTTAACGTTGCACCCGGCAATAACCCTATCAACATGACAGTAGCATTTGACAAGGGTCATCTCGAAACGATCTATTCCCCTGGTTTGGTACAGTTCGGAAATGGACTTCGGCTACATAACCACGAGTTTGATACAATACCATTCAGTTTGGAAACATATAGTTGAGTTAAGGAGCAGAATTTAAATCTTGAATCATCAAATGGCACCTAAAGATTGACATTAGAAAATTATTCCCTCCGATATCAACACAGTGTTTCTCTCTTTAGAAAATATAGATACTCATATTTACATCACGACGAACACCAACCAGCAGTGAATAAATGTTTATTCAGCAAGACCATAAAATATCTTGTAAACAAAATAGTAACTTGAAGCTTTTGATGCGACTACCAAGCACTGCCTATATCTGCTGAGATACACTAAAACAAGGTGTAACAGAACAGTAGGCTGGAGTCATGGCACTAAGAAGAGGATGACAGAACAAAACATAACATGATATAAGGATATGGATACAGTAAACAAATTGAAGACACCGAGTTGCAAGCACTAGAGTGAGTGAGTGAGTGAGTTTAACGCTGCCTTTTAGCAATATTGCAGCAATATCGCGGCGGGGGACACCAGAAATGGGCTTCACACATTGTACCCATGTGGGGAATCAAACCTGGGTCTTCGACGTGACGAGTGAACGCTTTAAACCACAAGGCTACCCCACCGCCCCTACTGGCACTAGAACTATGAGAGTATTGAGGGCTAATCTCTGCACCAAGCATACTTGATATATAAGAACAAAGCATGTTGCTTGAAAGCAGTGATCTCAATATTGAGGTATATGCATGTTTAATTCCACACTTGTGAGTATTCCTGCTGTGAAAGGACAAGATTATACAGTGTTCAATACTGTGAGAATGATCAAGGCCACTGTGAGAATGATCAAGCCCACTGTGACAATGATCAAGGCCACTGTGAGAATGATCAAGCCCACTGTGACAATGATCAAGGCCACTGTGAGAATGATCAAGCCCACTGTGACAATGATCAAGGCCACTGTGAGAATGATCAAGCCCACTGTGACAATGATCAAGGGCATTGTGACAATGATCAAGGCCACTGTGACAATGATCAAGCCCACTGTGACAATGATCAAGGGCATTGTGACAATGATCAAGGCCACTGTGACAATGATCAAGCCCACTGTGAGAATGATCAAGCCCACTGTGACAATGATCAAGGCCATTGTGACAATGATCAAGGGCACTGTGACAATGATCAAGGCCACTGTGGCACCTACCAAGCAATCCCCATCAATGTGAGAGGAAAGCAACAAGTAACTAGCTTCTAGGCATCTACCACTCATAGTCACAAGAACAGGTGGAATGCTGACACAAATGTTCATCCCACGGCAACATGAATACCTCACAGAATCCTGGTGGGCCAGAATCCTGGTGGGCCTAAGGGATAGAAGCAGGACCTTTGACTCTGCACAATGAAAGAGGTGTTTTGTACATCTAGCATGGTCCATTACATTGAAACAGAGAACTAGAAGCAGGACCTTTGTATCTAGCATGTCCAGCATGTACCGTAGTTGCAATCTTTGTATCATGTACCGTGGTTGCATCTTTGTATCTAGCATGTCCAGCATCCACCGAAGTTGTTACCGTAGCTTTGTATGCATGTCCAGCATCCACCGAGTTTTGTTGCAATCTTTGTATCTAGCATGTCCAGCATCCACCCAAGTTGTTACCGTGGTTGCAAGTTGTTACCGAGTTGTTAGTTGCAATCTTTGTTGAGTATTAAGGTCACCTTCATCAGTATCACTATGGCAACCATCCAGACAGAGACAGCTTTAAGACAGTTTGAGGCCATGTCATGTCCAGGAAACTCACCATGATGATGTCAGTGTAAACTCCCTCCTGACTACATGAGACAAATGAAATAACATGGAAGTGATGGCACTAGGAGTGTGATGATACAGTGAGGCCAGGATACAATACATATCCCGATAACAGGGGTGTGATGTGATATGTACCAAGATACAGTACTTTATATTCTCTCCCTTTGTGCAGGATTCACAACTCTGAATCATTGTTTTCAAACTTCAGATAATGAGGATGGGAAGTGAGTGAGTTTAGTTTCATGCCACTTTTAGCAATATTCCAGCAATACCATGGCGGGGGACACTACAAATGGGCTTCACACATTGTACCCATGTGGGGAATTGAACCTGGGTTTTGGCATGAGTGAATGCTTTATCCACTGGGCTACTGCACCTCACCCCCCAACAAGGATGGGATATTGGAGGGAGAAACATTAGCTGGGGGTGCAGTGTTCAGATTCTGCTATTTATAGCCAACCAGGATATACTAGAGAATCTGCTTACACTGGTTCTTGAACAATTTCTCTTATCATTCACATGTCTTTACATCGATATATCTTGTAATGTAATGAATTGTATGTATTGCAGTACAGGTGTGTAGTATCATAGCCTTGTACAGTCATATCTTTACACCACCAGACATACTACAGCGAAGGAAAGCTAACAGTAAAAGCATTACAAGCAAGAGGCTGCAGAGGTGATCCACACCAACTATCCCCAACAATGGACACTTCCTGGCCCATCCACACTGCATGCACACAGCCACACACATTCCAAAAAATATACATAATAAACCTCAAGCATACATTACTGGTAATTACTAACTAAACACACAGAGAGCTGACTTAATGCCACTTCCATCATTATTAACGAAAGCCCAAGGGGAAGCACATCAGGGAGCCTGTGTTGTTTTCAGGAGAACACATGATATCATCACTATCTGATAGTGATTCACAAACACACACACTCATGATATACTCGGAATGGTACAATTCTTCTCCTGGCAGAGATTTCTAGAATTATGGACCTGGTTTTGTCAGACTCACAATGTTATCAGAGCTGGTTTAAGTTTCTTTGCAGTAATATTTGTGCACAGGTCAATATCTCTGTCATCGATAACACAGTCCACACACAAACCCTGACCGCCAGTTTTAATCATCTTTCACAAGCATGACCTACGAGAGATCAGTCTTCTTCCAAAGACATTATACAGAATGATGATCATCACACGTTACCAGGAAACACATGAAAAGATGCCACAAATATTCAAAAACTAAATGATCACCCAAAAATATGTTCCTATTGTTTTCACATTCCTAATCAACAAGTAGACCTAAATCTATGCAGTATAAATACAATTTGCATATTTCAATAATGAATTGAAAATTGTCATGTGACTTGACGGGCAACAACATACCATAACAAATGACCACACATCTAAAAATATACAACACGTGCAAGACTGGCTACTTCTGGGTGTGTCAAATGTCCAAATCATTTATACAGAATTGATACGAGTGACTGGTATCAATTGTAAACATAACTTTGAATTATGAGATTCTCTCTCTCTCTCTCTCTGTCTCTTTCTTTCTCTCTCTCTCTGTCTCTCTCTCACACACACACACACACACACACACACAAGCCTTCTGAAAGATGCAAGGTTAAACACTACATTCACACAAAATCTGCATTTTAAAGGCACAAAGTTGAGAACAAATCAATACACATTTTTTCCACAAGACAAATCAAATGATTTAGCAGGCGAGTAATATTGATCTGTACATAAGCATGTAACTCGCTGTTCCCTGTGCTGCTGGGACTTGCTCCAAGAGGATGGACACATTAAAATACATATTTTCATAATGACATGGAAAAATCCAATAGCTGACAAATGTCAAACATCACCAATGTCTTATACACCGGAATCGTCTCTCACAAATTATGGCAGGTGAATTTGATGTTTTTAACCAGCGGAAGATGTAAAACATCACACCATTTGATGTAATTGTCTCACTTCATAAGTTACAGATTACAGACTAATGTCAGGAAACAAATACAGATCCCGGATATGTCCAGGGCCAAGCCAATAGGCAATTCTAGAAAGTTTGATTCAAATTCTTTAAGCACCACTTTGTTGGTCTCACATGGCCAATTTGGACATTAATTCCAAATTGAAGTTTTTTGACAATATTTTGAGAATGACCTAGTATCTGAACACGATACTACTCATACTGGCCACATTCAGTACGGATATTCATAATATCCTAACTTGATAATTATAGTAAGTGACTTGGCAAAACCGAACCCTTTATTCTGGCACTACAGCTTGATGAGACTTGTGAAGATCCAGGTTACAACAGGTCTTCAGCAACCCATGCTTGTCGTAAGAGGCGACTAACAGGATCAGGTGGTCAGGGTCGCTGACTTGGCTGACATATTTCGGTCACATCAGTCACATATGGACGATTCATGTCATCAAGTTTGTTTGTTGTTTAACGCCGCACTCTGCAATATTCCAGCTATATGGTGGTGATCTGTAAATAATTGAGTCTGGACCAGACAATCAACAGCACTTGCATCGATCTACACAATCAGGATACCATGACAGGTGTCAACCAAATCGCTGAGCCTGACCACCCGACCAGCATTGCCTCTTACGACATGCATGGGTTGCTGAAGACAAATTTTAACTCGCAAATCATGTAAAGACAACACTCTGGTGTCTCTGAAAATGTAGCTTGTGTTGTTTTAAGTAATTGTCTGATTATTTGTATGAATTGGGGAAGAAATTGTGTGTTTTTTGTATTTCAGATGCAGTAATGGTACAGTTATTAGCACTGTTAAGGCCCCCCCCCCAAAAATATGTTTGTTTCCGGTAACCCGATCGACCCTATAACCCCCCCGGCCCTAAATCTTTTTTAAATCAAGTCAGTATCATGACTGGAGTGCATTTCAACTCATCATTTTCATCCAAATCGAGTATGATATTTTCATGTTTTTCAGTGTATGTAGGGCTAAAATGGATTGCACATATATTTTTTTGGCCTTATTGCTGCATTGAACAGTATTTGAGTCACCTCACATTTTAGTCACCTCACATTTTAGTCACCACCTATATCTCCTGGATAATTATATGTTTAAGCATGCAATGTATGAAATATGTCAGCACCCTTATCAATCATTGAGTAATATAGTGTATATTTGATGCTTAATAATATCCTTATCTCAAACATTATTTAAAAAAATTACAAACCACCCCAAGTTTAGCAGCTTAGAAATAACCATGAACACAGACTACACAGCAGTGTGAGTAACACGAAAGTATCTTGTTGCGATGCTCCATTGATGCCCAGCAGCTTTTCTGCCTGTTTCTTGGCTATGGCGTCGTTGGGGTTGTCCCCCTCCTCGCTGAACCAAAGGTACATACACGGCTGCCCCTTCTCCATTACCTTCCATGACTCTCCCCACAATCCCTCGCAGAACGTCGTCGAGTCACGATAGATCTCATGGAACGGTCGGCAGGGCTTCCCTTCCGGACATGTGTTGACCCCTGCGGGATGACAAAGGTAGTATGATGATTCCATTAATTACAGGTGGGGGTACAGATATACATAAGATGCATCTGTAGAGCACCGAATGTCCACCTCAAAGATGCTCAGTGGCACCAAGCACAGACAAATTATGCACAAAGCGCAGACAAATTATGCACAAAGCGCAGATATCTTTACACAGTGAATCCAAGCTGTCTGTGAGGCGCCAGAAGGTTAACAGTCATACGACCATTTTATCCCACCGGGTACCCATTCACTGCTGGGTGAACAGAAACAATTTTGTACAAACTAAGTTGCCTGAGGTGAAACCACATGTGTCACATGTGCTTCGTTGTGGGGCTGGAATGAGGTCTTAGGGACTCCAAAGAGTCAAGCTGCCAAACATGGTCCCCTATCCAAAGACTCTCCGTGACCAACTGCCTAACTTCACCTGATTTGTGACCTGGGCTCTATGCATTGACCGGTATCTGCATACACCATGCAGACATGAGAACAGCAAAGCACAAAAAACACAATTTAGCCGGGGGTCTTTTTGCCGAGGAAAATTCTCATGTCTGACCATGTGCATGAACTGGCACCATAACCAGCACCATCATGACATAATACTATTACCTGAAGTTCCCACAAAGATCTGGGTTGGAATTGGCATCCAGGAACCCATACTCTTCTAATCTCAATAATGAATTGTCTAGTCCAGACTCAGTTATTTACAAACCACTGTCTATTTGCTGGAAAATACTGTAGAAATTGGTGTTCAAAAGCAAGAAAAGAAATCACCTGTAGTCCAGTTGAATCCTTTGCTCCAGTTTTTGAGACATGTTGTTTCATTTTTGCAGTCTTCCCACCATGCATCACACTCGCTCCTGCACATCGGCACATGCATGAACCTCTCGTTGCGGATCTTCTTGTTATCCTACAAACACCGAACCAAGGTCAGAGAGAAACAAATGACACGTTTGTCTTTGTAGACTGAAACAGGTTTCTGTGTCCTAAAGCAAAACGGAGCAGCAAACACACTTGGCTAAAACCATACATTTATTTAATCGATTCACTTCTAAAACACATGATATGTACAGATTTATAAGGAACTATATATCTTTTTCCTCTTAACATACACTCCAAACATACAGTACATTCTGAAAAAGACTAGAGACAAGTTGAATGAACAAAATGGGAAACCTAATATACCATACCAAAACTAGCCAAGGCCCAACATTGGGTGAGCACTCGTAGAAACAAAGATCCTGCAGGAAATGGCGCCGACACTGTGGCGACAACCAGCCGCAGTGGTTCCAATCAAAGTTGAGCCAGTTCTCAGAGAGGTGCAGATCTTTGCTGACCTCACTTGTACAACAGGACCTTTTCTTCCATGGAGTGCACTGTAGGACAATAACACATTGACTAGTGTCGATAAAACAAGTTACTGGTACTTTGTGCATTATCCAACAATTGCACCATAATTAGAGCATTATCAAACAATTACACCATAATTTGTGCATTATCAAACAATTACACAATATCTGACAACTGCATCGTATTATCCAACAATTATATATGATTTTGTGCACTATGTAATTATAATATATTCCATGCCTTACACAAGAATTACATGATATTAATATAGTTATACATCAATTATACCTTACTTTGTGTGTTATACAACAATTATACCTCTTTAGTGGGTTATACAACAATTATACCTCTTTAGTGGGTTATACAACAATTATACCTCTTTATTAGTTATATAGAGAATCTCACCCAAGTGTCTACTGATATCAATTATATCTACACGAGTTGATAAAGTTACAAATATCCGAGGCTTGCCGAGGATATTTTTACTTTTATCAACGGGTGTTGATATAACTGATATTAGTAGACACGAGGGTGAGATTGTATTTATCATCAAAAATCACTGTTCGTTAGTTTTCAATGGAAAATGTACATCTCTGAATACCATACTACCACTAGACTTCCAGTGCAGTGATGTCGTAACATTGTGACGTCATCAAGTTCATGATGTCATAGCATTGTCAGGGCATTGAACAAAATCTACTGTCAAAATGATATCTCCCAGGAGATATCGTATGATCTCACACAAGCAATATCTCCTTGCGGAACACAGTTTTGGATGATAAACAACAATTATACCTCTTTATAATTAGTGGGTAATACAACAATTATACTTTATTTAGTCAGTTGTTCAACAATAGCAGTGTCATTATGCTACACATAGCTAGACAACACAACTCTCATGGCAGTACATACACAGATGGTTCTGTATAATAAAATGTTTGCCGACCTGTTGGAACATGGCATCCTCTGGTCCCGGTTCTGACTTGTGATGTCTGCCATCGAGGCAGATGTTGAGGTAGTCGTGGACGGTCGAGAGATAGGCAAGTCGGTTAGCTGAGAATACTACTTGCACAAAAATCGGCACAAGCAATAATGGATTCATCTTCCCTCTGAAACAAAGCATGCGACATGAGGGATGTTGTGGTTCTGACAACTCACAACTCTGCTGCAGCTTGTTTGCCTGAGCTGCTGCAGTCAACAAGATTCCAGCTGCATCATGGCGATATATAAATTATGAAATCTCAGGCGGACAAACCAAATTTCATTGAATCAGGTTTGTTCCTATATTAAGAGATCTCAGTAACTCTATAAGTGAGAGAGTGAGTGAGTGAGTGAGTGAGAGCAATATTACAGCTCTATGGCGGCAGTCTGTAAATAATCAAGTCTGGACCAGACAATCCAGTGATAAACAGTAAGAGCATCAATCTACGCAATTGGGATACGATGACATGTGTCAACCAAGTCAGTCAGTCTGACCCCTACGCCTCCTACGACAAACATGAGTTACCAAAGACCAATTCTAACCCAAATCGTCATGGGTCGAGTGAGTGAGTGAGTCCATTGCATTCCATAAGTTGATGTTCATGATGACACTAAATTGTCTGGTCCTGACAAGATTTTTTAAAGATTCCATCATAAACAAGAATACTGCTGTCCAAGGTGTTAATGGGCGAACGCCATTTTTGTGGAAGCCGTGGTGGCTGAGTGGGTAGGATCACTGACTTTGTGTGCTGGTGACCAGGTGCCTCACTCTGAGGGTGTGGGTTCAAATCCTGGATGGGTTTCTGTATTTTGACTTTGTATAGTGTACACATCTGTATACAGAAACATACCTGGGGTACATATCTGTATACAGAAACATACCTGGGGTACATGTCTGTATACAGAAACATACCTGGGGTACATATCTGTATACAGAAACATATCTGTATACAGAAACTGGGGTACATATCTGTATACAGAAACATACCTGGGGTACATATCTGTATACAGAAACATACCTGGGGTACATATCTGTATACAGAAACATACCTGGGGTACATGTCTGTATACAGAAACATACCTGGGGTACATATCTGTATACAGAAACATCTCTGGGGTACAAGTCTGTATACAGAAACATACCTGGGGTACAAGTCTGTATACAGAAACATACCTGGGGTACATATCTGTATACAGAAACATCTCTGGGGTACATATCTGTATACAGAAACATACCTGGGGTACAAGTCTGTATACAGAAACATACCTGGGGTACATATACAGAAACATACCTGTAGGGAAACATACAGAAACATACCTGGGGTACAAGTCTGTATACAGAAACATACCTAGGGTACATATCTGTATACAGAAACATACCTGGGGTACAAGTCTGTATACAGAAACATACTCTGTATACAGAAACATACCTGGGTACATATCTGTATACAGAAACATACCTGTGGTACATAGTCTGTATACAGAAACATACCTAGGGTACATGTAAGTCTGTCTATATACAGAAACATACCTGGGGTACCTGTATACCTAAACTGTCATACAGAAACATACCTGTACAGTATCCTGGGGTACATATCTGTATACAGAAACATACCTGGGGTACATGTCTGTATACAGAAACATACCTGGGGTACAAGTCTGTATACAGAAACATACCTGGGGTACATGTCTGTACATGTCATACAGAAACATACCTGGGTAGTACCTGTACAAGTCTGTATACAGAAACATACCTAGGGTACATGTCTGTATACAGAAACATACCTGGGGTACAAGTCTGTATACAGAAACATACCTGGGGTACATATCTGTATACAGAAACATACCTGGGGTACAAGTCTGTATACAGAAACATACCTGGGGTACATGTCTGTATACAGAAACATACCTGGGGTACATGTCTGGGGTACATGTCTGTTGTACCTGGGGTACATGTCTGTAGTACCTGTGCTGACAACAACCCCTTCAGGCAGCACAAGTTAGGACAGGGATAGGATCATTTCGAGAATGGGTCTTATCATAACGGTAGGATGTCCTAACTTCTGTCTTAACTACTTAGGATTTGTCTTAGCTGGGACACTTTCGAGAATAGGGGCCCAGCCCTATAAAATGTACCCCCTAACCTGGTTGAAACATTCACATTACAATGTCAGCAGGATGCCGCGACTCATGACAGCTCAGAGGAACCAGGCGCTAGGAAGACTTGAAGCTGGCCACACTGCACAAGCCATTGCCAATCACGTTCGGACCATCTACAGGCTGCAGCAACGTTTCCGGGCCACCCACACCCTAAATGATCGCCCCCGAACTGTCAGACCAAGGGTGACCACAACACGACAAGACCGCCATGTTGTGCGACAGCATGCATGTACAGAATCCCTTCATGCAGGCATCCGAAACAGCACGCCAGACAGTGGGAACACACGTAAGACCAATCAGTACTGATACAGTACGCCAACGTCTTAACAGCGGGAACCTCCATTGCCTTAGACCTTACTGTGGACGTATCCTCACCCCTCGTCATCAGCATGAATGTCTACAGTTTGCCCTACAACACCAAAACTGGCGATACAGGCAATGGAAAACTGTTCTGTTCACAGATGAGAGTCGGTACTGCATATCAACTGCAGATGGCAGTACAAGAATATGGCGACGACGTGGCCAGCGTTACTCAGACCATTGTGTTATGGAAAGAGACTCATGGGGAGGTGCAAGCATCATGGTATGGGCTGGAATAGGCCTCAACCAGAGAGTGGGTCCAGTGGTGTTCCAGAACCTTGGTCCAGGGAGAGGAGGTGGCATCCCAGTGATGCGCTATATCGACCAAGTTCTCTGACCCCACGTCATACCACATTTCACACGTCACTGGAACAACAATTTCCAGCATGATAACGACCGGGCCCATACTGCCAGAGCTACACGGGACTTCCTACAGCACAACGGTGTCAACATTATGCAGTGGCCAGCCCTTAGTCCTGGCCCATTTCTGGTGTCCCCCGCCGTGATGTTGCTGGAATATTGCTAAAAGCGGCGTAAAACCAAACTCAGTCAGTCAGTCAGCCTTAGTCCTGATTTAAACCCAATTGAACATCTTTGGGATGAAATTCAGAGGAGACTGAATAATGTCATACCAAGTCCGAACACAGCCGATTTATTGCGCCAGGCGTTTCTCAGAGTGTGGTTCAAGGTGCCTATGGCCTTCATCAATCGATTGGTGCACTCCATACATAGACACTGTGCTGCAGTTATTGCCGCTTGTGGTGGTCACACTAGACACTGAAGTCAAGGGTCTGAATGGACTGCAAACGTTCACGTAATGTCTTGAAATTGTGCTGAGTTATTCATTGATGTGTCAAGGTATTGTACACAAACAATGTTTTTGATCGGCTTATTATGTCCATTTCTGTAATGATTTGATTACCAGAGCTCCAGATAAGATTTAGCTCATGTGGGTACTGTACCCATTGTATTTTTTGGGAGTGGGTATTATGAATGTTGAGTGGGTATTTCATTTTCTGTTACCCACAGCTTTCAAATATGTGGGTATTTCAGTGATTTTACTCACCTAAGTATAATGTCATTGAGTATGTTTACTAAGCAGGTATGTTCTGCCTTATGTCATACCTAATCAAAACCAACTTAAATATAATGGAAATGATTTCATAAAAAATCACCCGTCCTGTACTGACAGTACAACTTGATAGCAATCGATGTCTTTTTCATTACGCAAGCGATATTTATAAATATATTCCGAACACATTTGTTTTAAACTTTTTGCTATCTAACATTTTAAATGCGTAATTGGTATGCAACAATTATTTTTCAATGCGTAATTGGAAATTTTCTAGGGGTATTTTACCCAGATACGCAGCTTATCTGGGCCTCTGGATTACAGTGCCTATCTAATTTTGAATTCATACTGGCGTTTTTTTTGCTGCTGAGTATATATTGGAGAAAGTACTAGCAACTTGGCTTGTCAAATAAACAGATGTATCACATAGAATCAAATCAAAATGGTAGGAACCATCACAAAAGCAAAAAAAAAGCTATAACAAATTTTCATTTAAAAAGTGGCAATATATGTTACCATATTACTTTTGTTGTTTTCACATGCACATATATATAGAACTATCTGCTTCATAGCATTCATTCATTCACCTATGAAGGAGTAAGAATATACTCTGAAATGTCATGGTCCCCATATTACAGAAGCTGACATTGATAAATTTCCCCTTAATGTGTAAAACTTATAAATACCTTTCAAATACTTTATGACTTAATAGTTTGAGAGTCTGTAGAAGATTCATACAAAGAAACATTCCTGCATATTGTCAATGATCTTGGCTCAAATGAAAAGATCTAATAACACATCCAATACTACAGTTGCAAATGACTTAATGGAACTGGTGTGGGAATAAACTAACCTTGATGACATTTGGAGTATATGCTTTATAAAAACTCATTTAAGTTTACAGTCGGTACGATCAGTTTTCGTTAAAGAACTGAGTCAAACTTTCATAGTAACATTACCGCTCGGGATACGAAATATATGAATGATGCAACGCTAAATTTATATTACACAGATAAATAACAGATGATGTCTTAGTCTCGAAAATTACTTACATTACAGATTCCAACAGCAGGTTGAACTGCCAGCTCGATAAGCACTAAAATCTAACAAACACCGAAGAGCGCTCTCACCGTGTCCCACACAGCTGCCATGTGTGAAAGTAAATGATCAAAAATAAGGAATGGGTTGCGGAACATTTCACCGCTTCAGCACGAAGGTTCTTAAAAATAGATGTACAAACACTAAACAAACATTTAATCACATACACCACCTCTGAATATATAAGTAATTCCCACAAAACAGCACAGTTGCACCAGAGTGCAGTATATGTAGGGGCCTTTATGCTGGATGTTGACGGCCATCATTGGCGACGGGATGACTGTGCCAGTCGGGTACGTAACGTATATTCCTGAGTATAATTACCAGCTAGAGTGTGTCACATATGTTGGAACTATTTTCCATAAAACTAACTTGATTCAACAATAAATGTCAGACTGGCGCATCCCACCAATATTAATTGACAGCTAATTAAACTGATTTTGCTGAAATGGCTGGAATCGATTTAAAGTCCATATGTCACACGTACATGTATTGCCTTGACGCACATTCCCTCCACGCAGAGACAATCACCACCATCCTCAATCTGGAAACTACACGAATAATTCTCCATTTCACATCCTGCCTTTTCACACTTTGAAACCACGTTTCATCTCATTATTCATTCGCACTTTTTTATGGGCACAGCATAATAATAATATACAAAAAGGCCTCTCATCATATATATATGGGTATGTATTGAGAACTATCAAAAGTTCAGTTAGACATTGATACCATTCTTTACGGCAACCCTGCTCTGCCAAATACTATCAATGAAACAATCTTAAGACATGTGCATAAATACATTGTACGAAGTAAGCGCTTCAATTAATCAATAATATGTCTCAATTTTATTATGTCCATCCATTACGTCCAATCATTATTGTTCATTATTGTTCATGTTTCTGATGGGAGCGGGCGGTAATTGGTTACATAACTTGTGCCCAATCCATTTCAACACTGAATAAAATATGTTCAAACAAGTATTGAGAAATGCATTGTACTAGTTGCATCCGTAGGTTTGCACATGTGAGGCGCTGTTTTTCTATTTATTTGCTTCTATATATTGTCAGTAAATAAATTTTCGGTTTCACAAATTCGATTTTCAGAAATAGATTAATTCAATGCAGTTTTATCACTTCTTAAATCAAATTATTTATATAAAAATGACTGCGATGACGCAAATTCGATTTTTCAAAATTACTGGAGTTATTTTAAATACCATAACTTCCAAACGTATATGTCTTATGTAATTTATGATATCAAAATTTAACTATTTGGTTCATAAGAAACGCTTTCTCCATGAAACAGTAAATAGTTATAAGCTACTTGCTAGTGGCTCTTATCCCGAAGACCCGGGTTCGATTCCCAGCATGGGTACAATGTGTGAAGCCCATTTCTGGTGTACCCCCGCCATGATATTGCTGGAATATTGCTAAAAGCGACTTAAATCCATAGTCACTCACTCACTCTTACATTCATACTCACCCACCACCCTTTCTTCAATCCATAACTCGAATTCGTGATATCGGTAAATGAATTAGAATACAATTATAATGTCGTAACTGCGTTCGGGCGTCAGTTGACCCTGTAACAGTCACCTAATCGTATTGCCGTTCCATGTTGCCCTTGGGCGGTGGGGTAGCCTAATGGTTAAAGCGTTCGCTCGTCACGCCGAAGACCCGGGTTCGATTCCCCACATGGGTACATGTGTGAAGCCCATTTCTGGTGTCCCCCGCCGTGATATTGCTAGAATATTGCTAAAAGCGGCGTAAAACCACACTCACTGACTCCATGTTGTCCTATATGTATTTTAAATCTGGGACTCGTCCGTCGAGGGTCGCTAAGTCAACAAGTTTAGTCTGAAAGTCTCTCCTTGAGGGTCAAGAAGCGGGTGTCCAAATTTCGATATTCTTCCTCCACGTTGGAACGGAATGTATCATTCCTTTATTTATACTCTTTGTGATAAATATTCACTACTTTCCAATGTAACTTCAGCAAGTGGTGAATATGTTTTTTAAACTCAATGTATTCAGTAAGTGGTGAGCTAAATTCACTGAAATGGTTAGACGACCCCACATTGTCAAAACAGAAGAACTAAACTGCCTCTACCATCGTCGAGGCAATGCGCTTTGAGCATACCTTCATGGCGTGGATTTAGCGCAATATAAGTGCCATTATTAATATTATTAAAACAATGATACTTGGCATTAACTATTTCAAAGGACTCCGGCAAGTCGGCCTGGCGCACCTCTCTGCATGTCTATTTGGTACAAATGTCTGCCTCGCAGGACGCCCCCGAGCTGGACTCTAACTTCACCTGTCCAGATCACACTCCTGCACTGGCGCACATATTCATACAACGATTAACGCAAGTTCTACAGCATTACTCACATTGGTTTACTCAGTCCCTCTCTTCATAAGAATGTGACTCGGACAGGACAGGACAGGTTCTTTACCAAATGTGGAACTGCAACGATCGCTATTCGAACGCTCTGCAGACTTTGAAACCCGCAATACTTTGCTGGTATTGACGGTGTATTTTTATGGTGTTCGAGACTGCTCCGCCCTTGTCACATGTCCTGATGCAGCATTTCTGATTCGTTCAAAGTTATTGTATACACATCATTCCGTGGTGTCATGTTTACAACGTGATCGGAGAATTACCGTAAGCTACTCATCGGTCATTCACAGTTAACAAATAAAGTAAAAATCTTTTTCATTCTATTACTCCCAGTTATTATGTTCTATATCTGTCAATGTATTACCAAGCATCATGAAATAGCCGCAATTCTCAATAATGTATTTGTTATGCATTTCTTGTTTAGAGGATACATTTTATACCTTATACTAAAACGCGAGTGTTGGGGAATCAGCTCGCTTGGCAAGAGGTCTGCCCATACCAACCCACACACAACACAACACCTGAGGAAATATACGAAGGGTTTATTACACATCAGTCACTGAACGATTTGGTATAATCAGGTAATAACAGTATGGTTTACAATATGTTATAATATTGTTATTACAGCATGTTCACATTGCAGTCAGATATCAAAGAACATAAACATCGCATGTAGATTCGTTGCACGTACTACATTAATCACGATACACATTCAAAGGTATACAACGTAATGCAATTGTTCAATACTCTACACCTCACCCCAGTGGGCGTTCATACAATCTACATTCTGGAACAGTCACAAAACAGTATAGTATTCACAACGTAATGCAATTGTTCAATACTCTACACCTCACCCCAGTGGGCGTTCATACAATCTACATTCTATAACAGTCACAATACAGCATAGTATTCACAACGTAATGAAATTGTTCAATACTCTACACCTCACCCCAGTGGGCGTTCATACAATCTACATTCTGGAACAGTCACAAAACAGTATAGTATTCACAACGTAATGCAATTGTTCAATACTCTACACCTCACCCCAGTGGGCGTTCATACAATCTACATTCTATAACAGTCACAATACAGCATAGTATTCACAACGTAATACAATGGTTAAAATACGCGACACACTCTATACATTCTATAATAGTCACAAAACAGTGTAGTGTTAATCAGTATTAAATAAACAATCCTAAACAGTAATACAGAATGCATGAGACATATAATAAAGGATGTCTCGAACACATCAACCTGAAGGAAGTGCCAAGGGTAACAAATAGTAAAGAGATGACCAATAGATTAAAGTTAATATAGAATAGCAATGGTAAAGATTTATCGAACTAGAAGAAAGTAAAATTACACCTGGATGAACGTACTAGACAGCCACCCCCTGATTTGTGACTGTCATCCGTATTATACATGTATACCTATTCTAGCTATCGGAGATAATCGTGTTTACATACAAAATTTACGATAACGTTGTTATTGTGAACTTGAGATTATGTCAATTAGTTTGACCGAAGCATCGATGGCCAGAGTCGCGAGTATTCCACGAAAGTATATGTGGCACGGGATTTGACCATAGGATATTAACATACAACACAGATAAACGTACAACACCTTGGTTTCTATTACATTAAGAGATACTGGTCCCGGATTATGTCCGAAGCTCGTTATCAATGTGACCCATGACAGGTTTAAGACTGAGGAATGTGGTCAGTTAGTCTGTAACATTTCCAGTTTTCAATAACACATATCGTTATAAAATATTGGTAAAACTTTGTCCAGTTTTCTGTGTTAATACTTATAATGCACGCTCCGCCCGTGGACAAGAGCTGTCCACAGCACAGAATATATAAACACGAGAACATGGTTGATATGTAGCTAAATACAATTAAATCAACACCAAAAGAAGCAAGGTAGGAGCACAGAACCCAAATAGAATATGTTAATCAACTTGAAAGAAGTATGAGTACAAAACGCGGAAAAGGCAAGTATTCCAAATGTACGATTTCATACGTTTGAAAGGTGGAGAAAAGTGTCCTATGTAATTTCGTAAAACCACAAAGAATGTACACAACACTATCTTATATGCTGATTTACAGTTCTTAAAAGTAACAGAGACTGTTGTCCCAGCGGAACAGTGAATGAATTTAGTTTTACACCGATTTTAGCAGTATCCCAGTAATATCACGACGAGGGACACCATAAATGGGCTTCACACATTATACCCAAGTTGGGAATCGAACCCGGATCTTCAGCGTAATGAGCGAATCTGGCTACCCCACCGCAACAAGTGGCGGAACAGCTTCATCGGCTACGTTAAATGCGATGATGACAGCTACCAATAGACAATGTCGAATTATGTAGGTAATACGTGTCATGTTCACAATATGGAAATGACGTGAAGAGATGCAAGTACTAAGGCATACAAAGCATGGGCGTGATCTGTAATTGAAGACGAGAGTTCAAACGGTTCAGGTACAACAGTCAGTCAATGCTTTGTGGTGTGAAATACGATGAGGTGAGGTGAGGTGAAATTGGGTTTAACGTCGTGCTTGAGAATATTTCGCTCATATGACGACGTGCATGCGTGTGTATGTTTATGTGCGGCTGCTTGTACTAGCCCAGGCTGAAGCTGGTTTTATAGTGCTAGCCCACTGAGATGCCATGCCGCAGTGAAGCATGAATACCCCACTCAGACACATTATACTGACTCCGAGCCGACCAGTCCTCGTTGTACCCATTAATGCCGAGCGCCCGGCAGGGACCAACAAGTACCATATTTTAACGTCTTGAGTTTTGGCTCTCCGGGCGGACGCTCTAACCACTACACCACGGATGCGGCCGAAATACGAGAAGGAACAACGTATATAAATATGTGCGGGA